CCACTTTTACAAGATTACGTTTCTCTAACTTATCGCCCTTCAATAAAACGCGTCAAACGTTTGAAGCTAGTCATCCGGATTTACATTTACATCTAGTCTCGTAGCGATCGATACATTTGATTGGCTTGTTAAACTTGACATCCAATGTGAAACCTGTTTAATTATCCTTGAAAAAGTGCATTGCGACCAGATACATCCTCTCGATAACCCAGAACCACCATTTTCATCGCCGTACCAACAATAGTTTGATGCGTGCGTTCTACAAAATTCGATTGCGTACACGTAGAATATTTTTTCAGCGAACCATTCCATTGTTAAAAACGATTTTATAATAGCATAATCGAAAGATCACTTCCCTTGTTTAGTCGGCATTTAAAGTAAACAATCGAGATCATCACAACCACGCTGCGAAAATTTTACACAATTCTTTTAGCTTCCCTTTTGCCACTCCACCCACCAAATATACTCTATTACATGAACATTCACATCGATGTATGTATAGATCTAAGAGGTACGCAATTATATAGCGTAACCATCGATAAATGACAGCTGATACGGAAATAAATTGTGACCTTAAGGTTCATCCTAAATCTATCAGGTCCGCAAATATCGTGTCGCTGTCCTCCTCAATCGGTCGATCAAGAGAATTTTTAATTGTAGTTTTTGCCACTGCATGTCATAATGAAAGTCTTTGCAGTTGACATTGCCTGTCGTTAAGCATGATGACCTTTGCCGTCCCTGCTGTCCACTATGAAACAAAAGAATATAAAACGTGTACCTACGCCAAACGACCGTGTCTTCAGCCCCATCATCGTTTGCAATATCACGAAAGATGGTTGATTGCTCGCTTTAATCTTATGAGTTTTCGGTATAGAGCTGGTAATATCGTTTGTTGTAAAGTTCCCCAATCGACCTTCCTGATCAGTTTAAAAACCTTTTACATTATTTATAGCTCATTTTTAAATAGTCGTATATTTGCATCCCATGAAATGCTCGAAACTTGGTCCATCGGCACTCATAATCATCTCACAAACTAGTTTTAGCGTGAATATAGTCCATATCAGCTATATATTCTCTTTTGATAGATATCACCAAAACACGTCCGCTGTGGTAGGCTACTTCGCAAAAAAATTCACCGTATGCAAGTCAGTCACGGGTGCTCTTAGGTCTGTATGTTCATTCTTTTTCTTAAAAATGTGATGTAGATGGCCTTGCAAGTCGTCCTCTATACGCAGTAGAGTCTTGCGTAATTTGCACTGCATAACGTGCACCTTATGTGCGGTAATTACCAAATTTGACTCGCCCTCAGACATCAATACAAGCTCGATATACATTTGGGGACCGGTATCATTCATTACGACTTTTAACAATCTTCAACAACATCGATTTGATTTATGTACTGTTGCTTGCTTTTTTTTAATTAATTTTCTTCTTTTCATATTAAACAATTTCTTCAACACCTCGTTGCCGAGCACAATTAGCTCAAAATTTATTGAACCATTCATTTTTCTCGTATTTGTAAATGTCCAATCGTCGCCATTCTGGCTGGCGTATAGGATTCAAATAAGGTCTAGTATCAGTCACTTCCGCTTGGCCTTCCCGGTGCCCGATTATGATGCGGATAGCATCTTTTTAAAATTCATTCAAAAATGAGGTTATGAGTCATAAATTTAACGTAGTGAGCACTAAAAACGTCAATGGATAGTGACGTCAACTTGCTATAGACATCTTAAAATTTACACAAACAAGTTCTATGACCTCATAGATCAGCCGAGAACGCTAGCTAATTGCGTAGGGAGTTTCGCTGTTACACAGCACGAGGAATAATGGTAAAAGTCTCGTTCATTAAATTCTACGTCCACTTCAACTTTAACTGTATAATCAAATTTCACAACTATGGTTGTTTTTTTAAAACTCACTAATGTTTCCGAAAGGGATCCTGCTTGTCCTTACAGGAGTTTTTCTGACATTTAAACCTCCATTTATCTCCTATGGATTGGTTTAGAATGTCCAAGCATTCTCCCTGCATCTTGAAACAAAGCTTTGCAGAAGTTATTTCAAATGAGGAGCATTACCCGGCTCAAACAAAATTTACATAGCATGATACACCATGTCATGCATGAATAAATTGACAGGTTAGATTAATCCGTTAAATGGAGAGGTAGCCTCGTCATGTCTGTGCGAGATCATCATACTTCTTCATCTTCTTGTGTACGTCATTGACAATTTCTTTGAAACCTCTTAGTTTGTATACACCTAGGCAAGACGACTTAAATATGTCCTAGTTCTATATGGAATCAACATAAGAGTATTGCAGCTCTTTAACTTATAATTGTTCTGCTTTTGTAAAAAAAAAATGCCGGTGGTCAATCTCTTGAACGACGTTACATTCTTCTGATAATGTATTTTACCGTGTTTACTAAAATTAAACGGTAACTAACTTTGCTTGAACAAAAGCAAGATTTTCTTTACAATTAAGTAATTGATATGATGCAAGTATTAGAGTTGTCCATTGGAAGTCTTGTCAAAAAGAATGTACGCCGATTTTGGCTGAAGTAATGGACCGCAGGACGATGCTTGCAACCAAAAGAGTCAAAATTTTACAGGATGCCTTGTCTAAATTAACACCTATACACTCCATTTTATCAGACAACGATACCGGCCGCAGGATCATACTTGCACCCAGTAGAACCAAAAGTATACAGGGGGTCCTGTCGAATTAACACCTATTACCAGCTAATGTATCCGACCACAGGCTCATGTTTGCGCATAGAACTGCAAAGTAGTCAATCGAGACTTAGCTTGACTTGCGCACCTGATTTTTGGCATCTTGCCCTTGAACGTTGGAGGCGGATGGTGTCGTACGATAATTTTAGCCATTAATTCGAGCGGCATGTGCTCACGCTTATTTCTTGTACGCCTCACGCGCCTCTGGCACTAGTTTCCCTTCCAATTATGGTGATCGCAGAGATTGTTACCTCAGGATCCCCGCGAACTTGTGAAAGTCATTTTTTTAATATGTCCTGCAAACGATGCATCTCAAAATCGACGCCTACGTCTTCGAGGTTGCTATTGGTAAATGCCAACGCGCATTAATCTTCAATCACGCGCTGTGCAATTTTTAAATAGATGTAAATTAGCTCGGGCTTGCAAAATCCACAACAGCGGCTAGGACCAAGGACAAGTAGGTTGAACGTGAAGCACCAGGCTCTGACTAATTTTCAATCTAGAAATCGTTCTAATGTTTTCTGCATCGCCGAATACCTGCCATATCCAATGTAACAAGGCACCAGAGCAACACTCTGGAAAGACAGTGTGGAGCTACTATCACTGGCAGCAGCGTGAGCGGTGCCTCGCTACCTCTGTACTTAGGCATAGGAAGGGAAAGCAACAAGAAACTAAGTAGTCGCTGGTAAAAGTAAAACTGTATCAAACACAACAGAGTCCTAATCATTAGTCGATGTTTTGGTCCTGTCTTAATTATACTTATCTACAAAAAAAAATTAAAGTCTCGCTCACCATTCATTGGGCACGTCCATCATTAATTGGATGGCTAGAGCTAACTGATTGGCTGAACAGTATCAGCCAATCGGTGCGTGTTTCCATAAACTACTCCTTATGGTAATATTCACGAACACTGTCAAACTTTAAGGTGATATTCGAATCAACAAGTTCCAAGAGTTCATTACATGTAACAAGCCCACCTCACTACATCACCCCGCTTAAAGATGGTCACTTAACTACGAATACGTTGATATAGACACCATTAGACCGCATCAAGCACAGGAGCATCAAATTTGGTCTATTTTTATGCTTAGGTTTTATCGCATGGTGAACACACCCATGCGATGCACGGCGAAAGCTGCTTAGATGGCAGCTGCGCGTTTTAACGCCGATCATTTGACGATGCATAGCCTATTGTGCTAGACGCTGCTTCATCTTCTGATGCTGCAACTCTTCCTGCAGTACATGTTGCTCCAGAGGCACGGTGTAACGGGGCACCCTCAAGCTTGTACTGATGACAGTACAAGCTACTAATTCCGACGACAGAATAAGGCGGTACCGCGTAACTTCACGTACACTGGTACGTGCAGAGGAAGACGGTAAGAAGAAGCGGGTACTTGGTTAAAGTAAAAAAGTAGAACTGTATTTATAATAGTCAATGTCTGTTAATAAATCACTATTTATCTTCATCTAACTTTGTCTAAATACAAATGTGTAAATGAAATATCTGCTCACCACTCATTGCGTGCGTCTGCCGTGGCGCGTCTTCGTTGGTTGATATAATGGCCTGTATCAACGAATTAGGAACTGCAGAATATTGTCCTTATGACAATACTCTGAGAAAATAACTCTTATAGCTATATTCTATTAACAATTTCTTATAAATTGTTGTGTAACGATTCACCCCGTTACACCATCAGTACCCAAGACCAAAGTCGCGGCTGTCTTTGTATCTTTTTTCGGCAAAGAAAAACACCGAGGATATCTTAAAAATATCCTCGGTGTTTTAAACACTGCGCCTTGGTGTATCTTGAGTCCCCCCGCTTCATGACAATGCATACCGCTATCATCTTCGAACGCATGTGCAGCTTCAATGAGACAGTCGACTTCAAGCGTGCATTCATCTTTACGGAAACAACGATGCATCATGCATAAGCGCTTCCTTCCTCGTGCGTGATAAAAAGACGCAGACGAAATGCAGTCTTTCGCTGGGTCCATTGTAACTGTCAAAAACAGCGTTTTCTGGCGAAAAAGACCGAAGAAATATCAGATCGATCGAATTGGGCGCACACGAGACGCTCCATCAATGAACAGAGTTATGCAGCCATCAGTGTCCGCTGACCGAGATCGTTTCTACCAATCGTTGGCGAACAGAAGAGGGAAACTGGACCTCAACTTCCCCGTGGAAAGCGATCACAAACTCTGACAATCAACTTTGACACCAATTGTGGATTCGTGGCCCATTACGAGATCTACCACCAAGTCCGAAGAACACGATGACCGCCAAGCAGTACCGCTTCACGCGCGAGGACTTCCAGCCTCTCGTGACGAAGCCGCTGCACTTTGACATGGTGTTCGACATCACGGAAGCCAAGGTGAAGGTGACGCTGCAGACGACGCTCAAGCATGACGGAGCGCAGTCGCTCTCGCAGCTGAAACTGCACTCGAAGGACCTGGAGATTTTGTCCGTGGAGCAAATCGAGACGTTCACGCCATTGGGAAGTACAAAGGACTTTGTCACTCACGTGCAGAGCTTTGAAGAGTTCCGTGAGATGGAGTACGAAGTGGATAAGGAGGACCATTTCCTCGTCCTCAAGTTTGCCAAAGCTGTGGAACCTGGAGACGAGGTTGTGATCCGCACTGTTTCAGTGGCCACTCCAACGGAGAATATACTGGAAGGGCTATACTATGACTATACCCCGGAGGGTGCCCCCAAGACGATCATCACGCAGTGCCAGCAGCATGGATTCCAGCGCATTGTGCCGTGTATTGACACGATGGACGCCAAAGCTTACTATACGACAACTGTTGTCGCGAATAAGCGCTACACTAACGTCCTTACAAACGGAGACTTGGCACCTGGATTCCACACGGAAACGGGGGTGCCTGTGTTCCACCCAGCAGCAGAAGTGCTGCACGTCGACGATCCGTCGCGCCACGTGCTCAAGTACTATAATCACAAAGTGAACATGGCGCCGTACTTGTTCTTCCTAGGTGTGGGTACTTACGAGACATTCCGACGGACACTTGAGTTCCCGGATGGAGACACAACGTTGTTGGAGATCTTGGCGTTCCCGGGCTACTTTGAAGCAGCTGACGCCAAAGCAGCTGTCAAGATGCTACACGACTCTGTGTTGTGGGTGATGGTGAGTCTCGGCCCAGAAGCGTGCGAGCACCATGACGAGCGCAAGCGTATGTACGACCTGCTGGATGAGCGTGAAGCCATCAAGGCTAAAGAAGGCGAACTGTGCCTTGGGCCCCACGAGGAGGATGTTAAAAGACCATTGAGTGACGCAGATACTGCGCGTCTGGCTGCAGTTCGCGCGGAATTGAAGGAGCTGCTCAAGGTGTGGAAGAAGACTGGCTACAAGTACTCTGGTGCGGTGTACCGCGAGATCGCTATGGAGAACTCGTACTACGGTGGTATGGAGAACGTCGGTAACACCACCATTGTAAGCTCGTGTCTGTGCCCGAGTTGCCGCATGGACGACAAGTCTTATGAGTACATGGAGCGTGTGAAAGTCCACGAGTACTACCACAACATCAACGGCAGCCAGGTTACGGGTCAGTCACCGTTCGAGATTTGGCTGAATGAGGCTGTCACAGTACACATGGAACGCAAGCGTGCAGCGGCTATTTTTGGCAACGACTACAGTCGCTTGAGTGAAGTGCTGTACATGTTCACTCCGGCTATCGGACCTCTTGCTCAAGACAAGTCGGCAACATCTCTGTCCGTCGAACCGCAGGGTTTCAATCAGACTCAGGAACTCGTATCTGTTGTAACTTACTCAAAGGCTCCTGAGTTCGTCCGCATGGTTGAGCTTCTTCTGGGCCAGGATGCTTTCCATAAAGCACTTGACATGTATCACACTAAATACGCGTTTGGCAATGCCACGAGTATGGATTGGATCAGGTGCATGGAAGAATGCTCGGGACTTGACTTGCAAAATCTGGCCAAGACATGGCTGAACCGTCCGGGTCACCCTGAAGTTACGTACTCAACGGAGTACAATGCCGATTCCAGTGAATATGTCGTAGAGATCTCGCAGACAGGTTTTGAAGACAAGCCTGCTGAGAATAATGGTCCTTGGGAAATTCCAATCGACTGGTCACTCGTCAAAGATGGGATGTCGATGAAAGAAGGCGTGTTTCTCATGAACACGCGAGACACTAAGCTTGTTATCCCGGATGTGACGGACGAGCCGGACTTCCTGTCTTTTGCCCGTGGGTGGTCTTTCTTCGGCAAATCAAAGCAGACAAATCCGTCCGTAGCGCGGCTCACAAAACAAGCGCTGTCCGATCCGGATGCTGTGAACAAGTACCAGGCTTACCGCAGCGTGGCAGATACCGAGAAGGCGAAGGTGATTGAAGGACTGTTGAAGCAAAACAAGACGGTAGAAATATCGTCCGAATTTGTGAAGCTGCACGGTTCGATCCTGTTCTCAGATGAGCTCACCCCTTCTGCACGTGCGTTGACGTTGGTTGAATCAAAGACCATCCCGAGTCGTGACGACCTGAGTCACCATTACGCTGTCATAAAGGAAGCGACCACAGCCTTGCTGCAAGCAGTGTGGGCCAAGTATTCGTCAGAAATCGAGGCAGCATACAACAAGCTGTGCGGAGCAGCTTGTCCAGGCCCGCATGTAGAGCAGTTTCAGGAGCGTGCTCTCAAGCGCCACTTGCTGCTGCTTATTGTCGCTGGGGGGAAGCCTTCTGTGCTCAGCACGACACCGACGGTAGCGCCAACGGTGGCATCATCCGAGCTAGCGCTTGATCTGCTTAAGAAATCGTCCTTTGTGACGGATCAGGTTACCGGATTTCGCCTCATCCTTGAAGACGAAAGCTTCGCTCAGCGCGCGAAGGTGCAGGAAGAGATTTTTGACGACTGGCGTAAGACGCCAGATATGCTGACGAAGTACATCAGCATTGTGAGCAGCTTGGATGCAAAGGACGTGGGCGAGCAAATTTTGGAGCTTGTGGCAAGCTCTAGCTTTAACCCAGCTCAGTCCAGCCACGGACGGACGCTTTCACGTGGTTTATCGCAGATTCGCGATTTCTCGCTTGGCACTGACGAGGGTCTTGACGTGATGGTGCAAGTGTTCGTAAAGATCGGCAAGGTCAACCAGATGTCAGCGTATCCATTGCTACAGTGCTTCGATCACCTGGACCGTTTTGATGAAGCCACAAGAACGAAGATGTTTGCGACACTACAGCGCATGCAGGCCTCGATCGACGAGAAGAAGGAGGAGTCGCTTTACAACCAGCTTAACATTATCTTGGCAAAGAAGCCGTAGGACATGTCAGCAGTGCCTGGGGATGGATCGAAGTAGCCTTGCTCGTTCTGGGAGCGAGATATGGCAATAAAAACGCAGCGTTTGATTCGTCATTGCGTGCTTTTCCACAAACCCTGCAATACCAGGACCGTATTGAGAGATCTGTCAAGACGTTGCTGACTATTCTGGCATCACTACTCGTTTTGGGCTTTCCTCACCTTGCCCGTCAATGTGGAACAAATCTCGTTTCTGATCGCGCTGACGTTTCGGCCAGATCGCTGGTGACGATACATTCGGCGCGGATGAAGTGACGAGCCAAGCAGGCTTGACCCGAATTTCTTGGTACAGGAATCGCTGGGATATTTTCTGTCGATGGACGTGAAATAGCTACTGTAAAAACGTGCTGCACACGAGAGAGGTGAGTTGCGTATCTTCGAACTTCAACTGATAGGAGATACGCAACAGATCAATGTCATTTGATAGGCAGGCATCCACGTGAATGGTACGTATGCACATGCGTGTGTCGCATTCCACATTGCGCTACCTATACCTCTGTCGAGGGTGTGATTCGATGCACATTGCCGAGCAAAGACGTGACCGTGTCGTTACCAGTGGCGATAGCACGAGCAAAAGCTCCGATGGGCAGCTTAACGGTTGGCCTCAACTGCTGAGCAAGCAACTCACCATACCGTGTAGCATGAGTGATGAGGATGCAGGCTGAGACAAGAAGTACACCGCTTGCTCCTTTGCAATTGTCCATGTAGTGGTGAACGACACTTTTCAAATATTGTCTTGGGCTGGCGGAGTGTTTATCATTGAAGGTAGACGTATGGACATCGAAACGCCAACATCCGTGAACATCTAGTGTGGCTTGGAGATGAGCAACAACAAACTGAGGATAGGAAGCAACACTGGAGCACGCTATCGTGCAGATTGTTCCGAAAGTCCAAAATATTCCACGGGTATCTCGTAACGAGTACGCTCGTACACTTACTTGCCGTTTGCAATAGCAGTATTGAAGAGCTGAACAACGCATCGAGGCTCCATCGGATGAACACCGGGCAGGATGCAAAAGTGCAGCGTGATTGTAAACTTGTCCAAAGTGGATTGATCAATTGAAGTGAGATCGCAATAACCAATTCCAGTCCTAATAGCTGTACTAGAAAAGGTGCACGAGAAGGACACTCGCCGCATCTACTTGAGCCGTTGTTGTAACATGGACAACAGAGCTCCAGTATTCTAGCTGACAAGGCTAAGAACATATTCCGACCATCTCGACATCAGGTGGGTCAGTTGTTGGTTACAATTGACGATACACCGTTGCTTCGTAGCCTGCCAACAGTATAGCATTCGACTCCTGTAGCAAGTCGCAAATCGGACTCAATTCAGCATTTACCGAAGCGCTCACTCGCTGAGAGTACGCATCAAGGCATTTGCCTACTTCTTTCCAGGCTTGCTTTTCAGCTTGCAAGGCTAGTCGGAGATCTTTCAAGTACGGGTAACCGAGCGGTAGCTCACTCTGTGGTGTCACCATCGCAGATGAGTTGCTGATCGAAGACGGAGGGGTCGTACGAGGTACAGACTGTTCTGTAGCCGCGCGGGTATCCAGCCACTCAATGTACGCCGAAGCTGTCCATCGTTTCATCTGATGTGGCAGTTGAAGCTCAGACGGAGCTCGGGACGTAAGATGGTGCCACACGTTGCTTGGTCGAATTTTATCGATCGTGCTATCTCGTAAGATCTCACTCGTCTCCAAGAAAATCATGTGGCGAAACGCGCGAAGCTCTTCGTATGAGACTCCAGCATTGCGCAATGGCACAATATGCTCTAGCTGTAACTCTAGTTGTGCCACATCATTCGCCAAACGCAATTTACCGTGTTCGGTGAGCGGGCGTAGCAAGGATGCGTGCCGGGTGAACACCGAGATGAGTCGCTCTACAAAATCCGCCAGGCACTCGGTGGTGAATGTGGCAATGGGGAGGCGGCGCAGATGCTCTTCTACAATCACAGCAAATGCGTCACTGAATTCTTGCATGTACTTTGAGCCGCCTGTGCCTTGTGACGGACGCACTCCACTGCTGCTTTGCAACGTGTCTCTAGAAGCTGCTATTCCAGATGTTGCACTTTGGTCACCAAAAGACTCATCATGCATTTTCGCGAATATGGCCTCCAGCTGTATTGCGATTGTCTGTAGATAGTGCCCCAACGTGGCGTACTCCAGGTCCGCGATCATCTTACGACAAGAAACTACTCTTTCAGCGCACATTGATTCGGCTTCTTTTGGCGTGATTTTACCAGTACCAACGGCCTTAGCACTGGAAGACAGATGGGCTATTGCTTCTGCTTCGGAGCCTTCGGAAACTGCTACAGCTTTTATGCGCTTGTCAATGTCCACAACGACGCCATCCAGTGTGCTGAGAACATTCATAAGACCAACATTGTGAGCTTGAGCAGGTGTCCGTCTGAAAGACGACACTGCTGCAGCAGCCGCCTTTCCCTTGTGCGTCATTCGTTTGACGTTGGAGCAAAACAAATCAACAGTTTTCTGCACCTGCTGAAGCACGCCTTCCAGCAGCACGGGGTCTTGGCCAGCTTGCTCCAGCTGCAAGAAAATCTGCACGTGACAAAGTCTGCATGTCGCTCCGACTGGGCGGCGACGTGTGAAACTTAGAGCTCTGGGGAAACATTAGCTGGACGGGGTTCGCCATCGTGCGATACACACGGTCAATAAACGCATCGTACAATGGTACCATGGTATTCAGAAGCTGCGTGCGCTCGGCCACAGAGCTTGCAATAGGCACTAACTCCCTCTCCACTGCGTCACTTTTCGTGTCCATCGCGTCAGTTGCTGCACCTGAAGAATATGCCAGAACTTCTACATCGGTACTATGCTTTGTAGCGGCATACAACTCGTTCAGAACCCGTGTAGCCTGCACCCGCATGCGAGGATATTCTGCGATCAACAAAGATTTCACCGCTGTACTATAGTTGAGTGTGCGCGTGAACAGCTCGCACACGATAGCACATGTCACCTCCCAGAACGTTGCGAAGAGAGACGACTCATCTGGCTCGAGTACCAAATCGACATACTTCTTGCCTGATGCAGGGTCCAACATCTTTTGTAGCACGCGCTGCATATTCCATACTTGGAAATGCATGGACGCGGATAGCATCAAACACATCCTCTAGCGCTTTCCATAAGTCAGACTTTTGCACAATGCTACCCGAAGTTGACGCATGACTTGGGTCCGAGCTTCTGACGCTAGCACCACCGGAGCGCACCAATGTATCCTCTGAAATAGCGGCGGTACACTTACGTTCCACTTCCTGAATCACGTCATTCACAGAAGCTTGAACCGCTGCACTCAAATCGCCCAAGTAGAAAAGTACTTGTAGTGCGTCGCCGACATCTGCCTGACTCAAACTCTCGATACCTGAACGCAGCGAAGTGCGCACCTCACGCTTCATATCAGTACCAAGCTTGCGTATAGCTGGAACCTTGGCACGCACGACGCTGACCTCCCCAAATCGCTCATCTTGCACCATCACCTCCATCTCCCTCATCGCAATTGCCACCGAGACCATCTCGTGCTGTCTCGCGTCTCGTGTTAGACTGCTTCGACTGTCAACTGTCCCTTCCGTCGATGCAGCATCAACAGGATTCAGCTCTGATCCTAAAACACGATCAGATAGCTGCTGAAAGCGCAGCACTCTCCGTACAATGTCTCCACACTGTTCGACGTTGCGGTAGCGCTGGATCGTGTCACGCAAATTCGCATGCTGCTTGCGCATTAGCGTCTCTAGTGAGTGCACCGACTGCTTCAAATCCCCCACAGAGCTCTGGACTGACGTCACGTGGCTCAAGAGCTCGTCCACCGATCCCACTTGGTCCAATAGTGTCGCGTGGTGCTCGCCAATGTGCTCGGAGATGACGCCATCAATGCGCTGCACGGCACGGTTCAGACACTTGACAAACTGCTCTGATCGACTCAAATCTTCCTCTTCACCCGGTTGAGCTATAGCATTACGTCCACGGCATGGAGAGGATCCGCTAGTGCTTCCTTGGACCGAATCTTGGGCTACGACTGCACTGGCGATCGCGCTCACGTCACACTCTGGGCTCAGAAACACGCTTAGCTGCGCTACAGTAGCAACAAACATCGAGCGCACATTCAGACACAACGATTAGTACTATCTGAGGCGTACAAAACAGCGCGGCAACATCGTAAAGTACCGCGTACCATCGCTCTGGAGCTCGCGGACGACTGCTTCCATTGCGTTACGAGATTGAGTTGTTAATGACGGATGAGAGGTTTGGGTGGCAGCAGTCGAAATGACGGGATGTTGTCGCAGCGGGCGAGAGATGACAGATGAGAGGTGTTTTAATTGATGTGGCAGACACGAGACACAATCATCCTGCAGTCGCGAGATGGCAACGCACAGCTCCAAGTGCTACGTGCCGGACGAGACGTTTGTGTGGCTGCCAGCGCAGATCCTGCGCGAGATCCAGAGTCATGACCCGAAGCAGCCGGAGCGAACGATCGTGCTGCGCGTGTACCCCCCTCCAGGCGACAGCGGTGCGTCTGTAGCGCCGGAAGAGCGCGTGTTAGACTTCAATGACCGTAAAGTCCAGGCCATGCTCAAGACAATGCAGCTTGAGTCGCTGTTGCCGTATCAGAACGAGAACTTGGGTCCGGAGGGAATTGAAGACATGACGGCGCTCAATTATCTCCATGAAGCAGCGATCCTGTACAACGTCAAGAAGCGGTTCTTGCAAAAGTTGCCATATACTTATACAGGGGATATTTGCATTGCGGTGAATCCGTACCAGTGGCTACCGGAGCTCTATTCGGAGCAGACGCAGTCGCAGTACTTGACCAAGTCACGAGATGAACTGCCCCCTCATGTGTACGCGACGTCGATGGCGTCGTATAAGGACATGAAACTCCATGCTGTGAACCAGAGTATTCTAGTTAGTGGTGAATCTGGTGCTGGAAAGACCGAGACGACAAAGGTGCTGATGAATCATCTAGCATCCATTGCAGGAGGGCTGAATGACTACACGATCAAAAAGATCATTGAAGTTAATCCGCTGCTTGAGTCGTTTGGGAACGCCAAGACTGTGCGAAACGACAATAGTAGTCGATTTGGGAAGTTCACGCAGCTTCAATTTGACAGTGACGGCACTTTGGTGGGAGCTAGATGCAGAACGTACTTGCTGGAAAAGACTCGCGTGATTTCGCACGAAATAGCCGAGCGAAACTACCATATTTTCTACCAGCTCTTGTCTGCAAGAGACTGTAAAGAGCGGTGGTTTCTGGATGATGCAAACGAGTGCTATGCATACACGGGTGCACACAAGATCAGCACGTCTGAGGGTATGTCGGATGCCAAACACTTTGAACGCACGAAAACGGCACTTGGACTTATTGGTGTGTCGGAGAAGCAGCAAGAGTGTCTGTTCGAGGTGCTTGCAGGCATAGTGCATCTTGGACAGCTGAAAATTCGATCAAAGAATGGCAACGAAGAGTCGGAAATCGTACCGAACGACCAAGGCGCAAAGAATGCGACCAATCTGTTGGGCATTTTGACAAAAGATCTAGAGAAAGCTTTGTGCTCCCGGCAGATTGCAGTTGCTGGAGATACAGTGACTGCTTTTTTGAAAAGAGACCAAGCAGAGGAGTGTGCTGGCGCGCTTGCCAAGGCAATTTACTCGAACGTATTCGACTGGCTGGTAGAGACGATCAATACGTCCTTGGAGAATGATACGCAAATGTGCTACCATGTGGGCATTCTCGACATCTTTGGCTTTGAGCACTTCAAGCATAACTCGTTTGAGCAGTTCTGCATCAATTACGCAAATGAGAAACTTCAGCAGAAATTTACGCAGGACGTCTTTAAAACCGTTCAACATGAGTACGAAGCCGAAGGTATCGTTTGGAGCCATATCGATTTTGCAGATAACCAAGATGTCATCTCGGTGATTGAAGACCGTCTTGGTATTATATCGCTGCTCAATGACGAAGTGATGCGCCCTAAGGGTAACGACGAGTCGCTGGTGTCGAAGCTTTCCACAATTCACAAAGATGAGCAGGATGTGATTGAGTTTCCTCGCACCTCTCGCACACAGTTTACTATCAAGCACTATGCTGGAGCAGTGACGTACGAATCACTGGGGTTTCTTGATAAGCACAAGGACGCTCTTCTCCCTGATTTGTCCGACTTGATTCGGGGATCCTCAAAGCAGTTTTTGCGGACAATATTTACCGAAAAGAATGACGATCCGGTTACCTCGCGAAAGAAGAGTAGTTGCGGTACTCGAAACGGTCGGGTTTCGAGAGGCGCTTTAGCGGTAGCAAATGTCGGCACCCAATTCAAGGACAACCTAAATGAGCTCATGTCTAGCATTCGTGAAACAAAGGTGCACTACGTGCGTTGTGTAAAGCCAAACCATAACAAGAGTCCGAACGAAATGAATCAGCCGATGGTGGTATCGCAACTGCGTTGCGCTGGCGTGATCGAGGCAATCCGCATTTCGCGTGTTGCATACCCAAACCGACTGTTGTTAGAGAAGTTGATGGACAAGTTTTGGGTGTTCGACGTGGGACATCGCAATACTGGTATACCAATTAAACGACGGTGCGAGACACTGATGGAAAGAATGGGATTCTCGTCGCCTGAGCAATACCAAATAGGATCTACGTGTATATACTTTCGGTATGGAATTTTGGAAGAGATGGAAGACAAAAAGTCGGCAGGGTTGGAACTCCAAGCTCGACACTTGCAGCACTTTATGCGTGGATTTTGTTGCAGGCTTCGCTTCCTTAGGAAGTTGCAAGCGATTCTCAAACTGCAGGTTGTACTTCCTTGTTTGTGCTAGTTTGCAACGCACCTTGATTGATTTGAATGCTTACTTGTGCGTGTGTTGCGAGGTGTAGTCAGTTGCTCGTTGCGTGGTCATGATGAATCGGTACCAGTCATTCAAGAGTGCTGTGATCTCTCTCCAGGCGCATTGGCGTGGATACAAAGGTCGTCGAATTGCGCTTGAAGCGAGGGAGAACAAGAGCGCGATTACAATCCAGAAGTATGCTCGCCGCTTTGTCAAACGGTGAGCATCACTAGTCTTCACGTCGTTTGCAGTACTTGTCTAATTTGTGTTGCCAATCTTGTGATATCCAGCGAACAGTTTAAGGGTGAAAGAAAAGGTGCTGTAAAGATTCAAGCGTTTTTGCGCATGAAGTATGAGCGGCCAAAGTACATGAAGGCACTTCAGGAAAAGAAGCAGCAAGATGACATGGAGTTCCAGTTGAGCAAGCTGCAGGAGCGTCTTCACGACGAACAGCGACGAAATGCTGATTTGAAGAAGGATAATTTGTCTTTGTCGTCCAACGATAGCCCTCTGTATACAAACACGAACGGAGCACGCTCTCGCGGGCAATCAACTGCCCACATGTGGATGGCTGATGCCGACGACATCATCAGCCAGCTGAACGAAAAGGCTGGGCGTTTACGCAAAGAGAACGAAGAACAACGTGCCTCAAATGTGCAGTTGAAAAGGAAGGTTGAGAAATTGAAGTTCGACCAAACGGTTCTCACCGCGAACTTTCAAGTCAAAATCCGAGGTTTCCAAGACACGGTAAGGTCATGTAAAAAAACGAAAAGTCTGCGACTTTCTATTGCTGATCATTGTCATTGGATGCACTGTAGATTCGAGAAAAGGACAAGAAATTAGAAGCTGTGAAACGCGAGTGCGTAAAACTTCGCGAGATCATTGGCGCCGATCCTACTTTGTCTAGTCACAAGTCGACACAGAAGGATCGTCGCTCCGTGTTCCGGAAGTTGGGGTCGAAGAAAGAGTGTGATGACGTCAGCTACGATATCGGTGATTCAAGCCAACCATCGACGGCTATGCAAGCAACACTCACCCAAAAGTCAGCTGAAACTGCAAAGTTCCTCCATCAGTCTGCACGTCGAATGGCTTCGTGGCGTAAGAACAGTGGTGCTGACAGTGATGGTGAGAACCGTTTTTCTGGTAGTGACATGGCAGAAATTGGCGGTCGTGCATCACTTCTGCAAGAGTTCGGCGCAGCTGGTGCTGGTGCAATGGAGTCGTTGAAGAGCAGACTCGCGGCTGTGAAAGACAAGTACTACGGAGAGGAAGAGTTGCCTACAACTTCGCGTCCGAGTGATCATCTTTCTTCAGCTAGTGAGTCGTGCAACTTAGACTCGTTGCCACTTCCTCCTGGCTGGAAAGCGCGTTTGTCTCGCTCGAAGGGAAAGGTGTACTACTGCAATCCGACCTTGTCCATTACACAATGGGACCATCCATCGATCGACACGAGTCGAGCAAAGAAGCAGGGGGTTGCAGCTGCACAGCGCGCGAGACGGTAAGTGAAAGTGCTGAGTTGCGTGGTTGCTGGAGAACTGTGAAACGTCAACTAACAATATGTTTTTTGATCGAATTTAGTGGGGCATCTCTACTTCGTTATTCAACAGGTGCGCTTTGGTGTTATCGCTGAATATGCAATCCATACTAACATGCTCCTATTGTCCATCTTTTACTCGCGGCAGATGGCATGCCGACGATGGAAGGCCACATCTAGACTACGTCAGCTAGGGGAGACAATGTAGAAATTTGACGCTCGGCATATCATGAGCTTGTCGATTTTGGCGGTCACGTCGAATGCTCGCGCCATGCAGAGATCGTCTTGCTGACGTTGCAGTAACTGAATGGCTTCCTTGTCGTAGCAGGCCTGGCAATGTATTAGCATGACATGTATTCTTGAAGCTCAGACAACGGTAAATGACCTGTTTGCTTTTTAATTCAGCATTGCTGACCGTTTAATAAAATAAGTTCTCAACCAACAGACGTAACCTCGAAGCACTAACGGTGCCGGCCTCGCAACAGTTGCGATCAGATCAATTTTGCTTGTTGCCGAACGGCATTTGACTGTGTCCACCCTACAATTCAATATCTGTAAGACCACATCGGACGAGCACGTAAGCATTAACCCAATTTGCTGAGCTCCTTGCCCATCACACCCATTCGTTACGTTCGTATTGGCGATTCCCTAAAGCTGAATCTGCAGAAATCTGCATGCTGGTCATGACTTTTCCAGTGAGTGTGGCGCAACATCTCAGGGCACGGGTCTCGGTGTCGTAGGACCTCAGTACTTCCATATTGTCAGCTTCGGCGAGTCGCAACGTGCCTAATTTCAGCATCGGGATACGAATTGCAGACCAGTCACTGTCTGGAGCCGTAGATACAAATAGCTCGGCAATGACCGCTCCAAAAGTGTGTGGACCCGTAGATGTAAGTAGCTCGGCTGTCACCGTTCCAAAAGCGTGTACGACCGGCCAGGCGACACAGCTGCCTTCATTCGCTTCCTTAGCCACAGCTTCATAAGCGATCGGTTCGTCATGCGTGCGTACTCCTCACTACCGCTTCCACGAAGCCACACTGACGCCGGCAATACTTGCCTTCACCACTGGACGATCATTATCTGCGCTTGTTCTTGACCTGCTTCACCACTCTTTTATATTCTTGACAGTGTGGCCACGCCAGTCTACGGTACGGATGTGTCTTCGGGACTGATCAAAGCATCGACGAAAGCCTTGTCACCTGTACCACTCTCGACCATGTGCTGAATCGACAGAAATCCGTCACCATTCATGCGAAGAAACGTCTCGTTCGAGTGTGCAAGCGCCTTGAACGCCTGCTGTAGTACTGCAACATGAAAAGTAGCCGCGTAACTGCCCGTGTCGTCATTTTCCGTCGACGGGGCGCAAGAAAACTCAATGAACGCCGAAGACGTGGGCGCAAAGGCGATCTCGCACGACCCTGTCTCGGACGTGGCACTCAAGCTCAAACACTTGGCTTTCGATTGGTCTTCAGCTCTTTTGCAGTCCGTCATGGCGATCGTCACGCTTGCAGCACTGGGCAAGTCATAGAGCTCGGCGAAGGCGTCACGCAGGGGCTCCGACTGCATGATACAGCGCGCGACTACTGCCGATTGCTCGAACGCGCTCTCGAATTCCAATTGGTCCATGTCTCCTCCTTCGTGCTCGAGCACTTGCATCGAGCACTCGCACATGAAGCCACTGTCTTCAACAACAAGCAGTAGACTGGCACTCTGCAACAACAACAACAAAAGGCACACCGACATCACGTGAGTAAGGAGGAAGGCCACTATGTGCAGCACAGAGGGACAATCATCTCTACCTCAGCTTCGTACGTCATCCGTAGCGACGTCGTCGCAAGAGCAGACGGCCCGAAAATGGACAGACACTCGAGCAGCAGGTGCACGTTCAACGCAAAGCTCAGCTGCACCCCATCATCGTCGTCGTCTTCCTCGTCTTGTTCTTCTGATTCAGTGATATCGTCATTGTTATTATTTCATTGTATTGTTTTGTCACTATTGTATTGTATCGTGTTGTCACTATTGTATTGTATTATATTGTATTGTTTTTGTTATTGCATCGTACCAAATTGGTAGTTCTCAAAGAGCTCTCGTCCAATGGAAGTCGTGACCTGTAGACTCTTGCCAATCGAGTGCGCAGTGAAGAGCAGACCGCGTCGATCGACGTCGCAGCGCACGCGCTGGTCGCGCTTGGTCTGTGCGAGACAGCTCAGGAGCGTCACGAGGACCTTGACGCTCTCGGCTGTGCAGGACAACGTCGGTAGCGGCGCTGCGGCGCTGGACGTCGTGCGATGCTCGTGGTCATCGCGACTGCAGGTCATTCGGATTATTATGATTGTCGCTGGTGGATATTATCCGCTCGGAAGGATGCGGGTGCTCTTCTCGTGCGAGATAAAATAGATGCGTATTGCGTGGAGATGGGAGTGTAGGTGGAGCTAGAGATAGAAGTGTAGGTTTACCTCAGTTCGCGACGCGACTGCGAGATCATTTTTTTTACAACGTCGGATGATCAGATCGAACGTAGAGTGCGAACGTCGGTTACTTCTTTGATCGAGGATACCGTACCCCCCCCCCGTACTTTACGTAGGCCGATACAAAAGACCAGTCATTATTACGGCAGCAATTTGTTCACAGCGCACTGAAGCACCGTGCGACTCCTTCATAGGTCATCGTCGAGTTTTACATTGCCGTATAGCACGCTCGAAATCAACAGTTCACGCACTTTAGCTCCATGTCGGAGACTATACAGCAGGCCATCACGACAGCAACAGTTATAGTTGGGGTTCAAAGTCGGACCTCCTCGGACGTTAAGTTCCTCATCCATTTGTCGAAGATAAGAAGGCAGCAACAAGTCGCGACTCGACATCCACGACTGTTTTGCCAGTCGGGCCAACGTGGCTGCGAACGTTTAGAGCGACGTTGCCTGCGGTTGCTGCCACTGCTTTTTCTGGTGCAGGAGAAAGGACGTGCAAGGAGAGGCTGTCCATCCGTCGCGCTGACTCCTCGCTGCCGATCAGCAGCACCGGGTCATGCTAGTCTGGTCGGCCAATTACTGCCGGCTAGGTGGGTGCCCACCACCAATTGATTGACAGGCACCATCAATCGCGTGTCACGACAATCGCGTCGGCACAAGCATCGAACGTTCTCTCTATTGCAGCAGCAGAGTCCGTCTCTGCAGTCTGCATCGTCTCCTGTATCACCGCCGATCGAGTTGTTCTCGCTCTCTCTAACAACACCTCAAGCACTACCACCAACCAACCGCAATTGTAGCCATCGAGTACATACGTCCAGCTCACATCGACGACCTAAACCTCCATCTCGTTAGACAGCCGGATCGGTGCATTACAGTCTCACTTCCTGATCCTGGTCTTCACGCCAAGGTTTTTTTCCCCAGCTCCAGCTCCTGTCTCAATCTCCCTATACTTTTGCACGACCAAGTAGCCACCTACCTCACTCTCTTATTCTATCAAGCGAAAAAAACGCAACACTAACCCCCCTCTCTATGTCTGACTCACAAGTCCCTCGTGGTACCGTGAAGTCGTCGCCGTGACTGGCAAAAACGGCCCATCGCCCCAGCCATACAAAAACCAAGCTCGAGCCCGCTGGCCTCGCCTTAAGTTCGCTTTGCAGCTCCCATGGCTGGTGCCAAGTGAACCGAGCGAGAGAAAGGAGCTGCTCGTCCAGGACAAGAAACCCGTCGCACCCGCCTCCAATGGCCACTCTCCAAATCTCGACACCTAAGCCTGGAGGAGGTGGCGCCCCACCTGCAGTCCCCACGACGCACCTTTCCGACCTCGACCTCAACCTCGAGACCGCGTCGCTGCTGTCGCACCCGCTACTCCACGCCAGGTCCGAGGTCTCAAGCTCCTGTCTAACTCCGACCATGGGCAGCAGCCACACGCACAAGCTCAAGGTCGGCAAGCAAGGCGCGATCGTCCTGCTCTGCTGCATTAACCTGCTCAACTACATTGACCGGGGCATCATCCCCGGGGCCCCCGAGAAGTTCAACCACTTTATTACCGAGACCCTTGGCGTGAGCGTCTTGCACCAGTCCGTGTACTTTGGCTTGCTCACGTCGGCCTTTATTGCCACGTACTCGGTCTTTTCCATTGTCTTTGGCTACTTGGCCCTTACCCACCGTCCGTTCCGCATTATTGCATTGGGCATGACGGTCTGGAGTGGTGCTGTGATCATTTGTGGCGCAGCACAGGCGACTGAGAGCTACTATGTGCTGATGCTTGGACGCCTGGTTAGTGGCGTCGGAGAGGCCTCGTTCCAGTGTACAGCTACGCCGTTTATTAACCGCTATGCACCGCCGGCAAAGCGGTCGTTGTACCTCGGCGTGTACTTGGCGTCCATCACGGTCGGCACTGCACTTGGCTACATTTACGGCTCGATCTTTGCCAGCTCGGCGCTTGGCTGGGCTGCAGCATACTACGTGGAAGCGGTGGTGATGGCAGGCTTTGTTGTCTGCTGTCTCACGATTATACCGGACGAGCTGAACCAGATCCCGGTCAAGGAGGTGGAAAGATTTGAGGTGGAAAGCAAGCCGAGTGCAGTGGTGCCTGGTACTCCAGAGGACGAAGACAAGACGGCATTGACCGCCTATATGGAAGACAATGGACGCAAGGTGCCTGTTGAGAACACCTCGTTTTTTGTCGAGTCGTGGGCAATATGTAGCTGCGTCCCGTTCATGCTCGTCACTCTTGGCCAGGCAGCTTACACGTTTTCGCTGGCAGCGATGAGCACTTACAGTCCGGCTATCTTTATTGGCATTGGATTGTTTGAGAGCGAGACGATCGTGTCGCTTGTTTTTGGTGGTCTTGTGGCTATTACCGGCACCATTGGCACGCCTGTGGGAGGCCTTCTAGTGGATTATCTTGCAAAGAAGAAGCCCGAGGAGATTGGTCGTCGCTGCATGATTTCCGTGAAAGCGCTGTTTTACTTTATGCTGGCGTCGATCGTGTTTGGACTTTTGATGGTGGTTTTTATCAGCACGAGAATCCTGTGTCTGATTTTCCTCACGCTGTGTCTCTTTTGCATGTGCGTGTTGTCCGTTCCCGCGACGATCGCCGTGCTCGAGCTGTTTCCAAAGTATCGACAGTCCATGGCCGTTGCGACGAATACACTGTTGATTCACGCGCTGGGAGATGTGCCGTCCCCTATCATCTTAGGTTATATAAAGGATGAGTGGGCTCCTCTCTGTGGCACGGTGGAGATTGACGGTAAAGCGCAACTGAACCCGCGCTGTCCAGAGAATCACTCTGGTCTTCGGGACGTGCTGCTCTTTGCCGTAGTTTGGCTGGCGTGGGGCACCATGCTCTGGGGTGCTACAATTCTAGTGATGAAGAGAAAACTGCAGGACGAGAAGCGACGTGTGGGTCGTAGTGGTATAATCTCCGGCTCGGCATAAGTCGACTCGACACTAGGACAGAGAGGTCGTGCTAGCGAATCGGTAAGCATGTCGTGCAAGGAGTGCTTTGTGAACGGCATACAATCAGCGGTGCATGTATGCACCTGTTATCCACGTATACATGCATTCACATACAAATAGCTTGTGTCCTGTCATACCTGCGACTTTGCAGTACGTATCTCACTCACGAACGGCCTTTCTTCTGTATTAACCAGCATATTCTCACGTTGCTAGACACTCCACGCAGGGAACAATGAGGCCTACCAAAGGTTATCTCCCTAGCTTCACACCAACGACAATAAAAGCAAAGCACAGCTAGGCGTTGGCAGAACCTCATCACGCTACCCAGAAGCGTTTCGCTGCCTCGATACCTACAACGTCTTTCGATGCAGGATCGAAGCGCCGTACTCTTCGTACTCACTTTTGGTGATCCACATGTTCTTGAATGTTGCCAGCGAAGCCAAAATGGAACCGCCGATCCATGTAGAGTAGATGCGCGTGGGTGGAGCTGAGATGCGAATTTTGATGTCCTTGGGTGCTTTCTTGCGCACCTCGGCGAGCAAACGGTCACCGAACCCCGGGAAGAGCGTCGAGCCACCAGAAACAATGATCTGCGAAAAGAGCGTCTTACGAAGGTCCATATCCGACTTCATGATGGCTTGCACCAAACATTCGTGCACTCCACGTGCCTCGGATCCAATAATCTCCGGTCGGAACAGCACCTCTGGTGCACGAAACTTTTCAGGTCCAATCTGCACACGTAGCATACATAGTTTCGTTAAACAACACACTCTCATCCATCAATCCACACAACAAAGCACAAACAGAGCACGTGTACATTGAGCAGCGTGCCATCTGGCAAGTAGTAGGCACACGTGTCGTCGCCTGACGTACTTGTCGTCGACTTGTTCTTGGCAATGAGCATATCCTTGACAGCAAGGGCCGACTTTTCCGCTTCCAGCTGCTCTTCCTTGGCAGGGTTGAACGCCACATAGCACAGTTTCTCCTTGATCTCCCGCACGACCTCGTATTCTGCTGACGTCTGGAAATTATAGCCAGCTCGACGCAGCAGGAGCTGCAAGTGCCGCGTCACATCTCGTCCAGCCACGTCCATCCTAGTTATAGCATGAGGCAGCGTAAAGCCTTCATAGACTGGCACGACGTGGGCCACGCCGTCACCCACGTCAAGTACCACACCGGTGGTACGTCCCGAGGCATAGAGACTCAGCACAGCTTGAGGCGAGACAAAGAGCGACGGTACGTTGAACGCTTCAAAAAACACTTCACTTGCCCGTTCCCGGTTCACCACGGGGTTCAATGGCGCCTCCGTGAGGAGCACCGGGTGGTCCTCGCTCTGTACATTGAGCATCTCCTTCGAGTACACGTGCTGCCAGATCCGGTGCATGCTGTTCCAGTCCGTGACAATGCCGTGCTCCATGGCATACTGGATCGTAAACAACCCCCGGTGCTGGTGCACGCGGTTCCCCACAAACACGTCACTGCCTTCGTACGCCCCGCCCGGCATCATCCGCGTGTGCTTCGTCGTGCCTACAAAGGACGGAAACACGACTTGAGGCGTCTCTCCCCCTGCGAATCCAGCCTTCATGAGTCCGCTGCCATTGTCAATCACAAGCGGCTGGTTCCCCAGTCCTTCCGCTGATGCCATCCGATGGATTAATTTACACACGACAGGAGCGCCAGTGGTAAAACTCCGACAAAATTCGCCAATTATAAGACACAGAGGCGGCCAATTATCACATTCACAGGTGGATTTTAAACGTCGCAAGTGGGTTTCTTCTTTTTTGTGCATCTTAAGTTCGCAGTGTGTACCCCTCCGCATCCCACAATCTGAAAAAAACCAGAACCTGTCATCGAGCATGCGACACTCTTGACGTCGCGTACCCCCAACCCACCCACCCACCCACGCGCACTCGACACAACCGACCGACCGACCCAAAATAACACCACACAAGGATGGACAATGCCGCGGAGGAAGTCGCGGCGCTTCTCGAGCAGCTACAGGGCGCCACAAGCAACGCCGAGCAGCTCCAGCTCTTCCATCAGGTGCAGGAGATCGTGCAGCATCGGGATCCGTCGGGCCACGAGCGCCATGTGCTCCGTAGTGCGCTACCGCTGCTGAAACAGGTCGCCCAGGTCCAGAATGCGGCGCTCGTGGCGTCTATTTTGCAGTTCCTGGACCACGAAGTGACTACTGCTGCATCAATTTTAGCCAATACGATGACGACGAATGCGCTGCAGGCTGTCCGTGCAGCAGCTGCCGTCATGGCGGCGCTCTATGACGTGTGCCACACGGTTCTTCTGCTCAGTTACTCGACCGAGAAGAACGTGGTGCTTGCACTGCATCTAACGCTGCGTACGCTCCATTGGAGCTTTGACGTGGTGCTTCAATCCGAGAGGAACGAGACAGGTGGTGCAGCCATGGAGCCAAAAGAATGCTGGGACGCGACGCTCCGATGCCTTGATGCTACGGCCGATATCGTGATGAACGTGCCCGAAATGGGACCAAGCAGTCGCAGTGCTGTGGTCTGGCTACGGTCATGGAAGGTTCTCGAGAGCGGCGTGATGCTGCTGAGTACGGCGCAGGACGCGTCCGTGTATCGTGATCCAATGAGGTCTAATGTGCAACCCAATGTCTGCAGCTTGGACCGACTGAAGGACGTCGCTAAACCGATAGTTTTGGTCCAGGCAGATCTTGAAGCACGTGGGCTTTTGTTGCTGCAACGCATGTGTGAGGTCATTGGTGCACGTGCGTCGGAGACGAAGATCTTGTTGGCGAGACGGGAGTTGAGTGTAGCCGTGAACTCGCTATCGCTGCTGGCGGCTGTGCGACCGCAGTTTATGCCGCATGTTTTGCCGATACTTGTTACGCTCTCGAATACAGTGTCGACGCCAGGCACTGAAGATGCTGGTATACAGAAGACAGTAACAGCAAACTTGGTCAAGCTGTTGAGTCATCCGACGGCACAGGCGCTGTCCGATGAGGTAACGGACGTGTTGATTGCTGTGGGTGCTTCTCAACGCGCGTTTGCTGCCATTAGTAAGAGCAAAGAACATCGACGGCGGTATACATCAGCACCGACGGAAGCTTCATTGCGTAGAGCAAGGATTGGCAAACGCACAGCGCAGTCGATTACAGAGCGAGTGGAAAACGCCAACGCTCATGCCAAGCGTAGACGTGTAAATCTGTCTGGAGCCTCAGCTGCTCCGGTTTTAAAAGAGAAGGTGACGCACGACGGGATCGTGAATATGCAGGCTGTGGAAGTGGCCAACTTGGTCTTGGAGAGCTTCACTTCCGATATGACCGCACCAGCACCTCCTGATCTGCAATTGGAGCTAGTGCCCAGCGCATTGAAGACGCGAATGTCCGCTTTGCTTGCAAAGCTTGCAACGCCTTCGTCCGCTCTTGCAATCGAGAAAAGTGCTAAACGTATGCGCGACCCTCGCCTCCGGCGTGACCCGAGACTGCAAGCACAAAGCAAAGAGCAGCCAGCACTCGTACCGATCTTTGACGATACTGTTGTCGAAGAAGTGAGCGACTGGATATCGAAAAACGCCGCTACGATCGCAGAGCCGCTAGTATCTGTCTCTGAGGATAACGTGGTCCAAGTACATCTGAAGTCGGAGACCGTGGCATGGCAGCAAGAAATGGCTATCGATGCACTTGTTCGGATCCTGGAAAATGAGTACGGGGTGAAAATTCGAGGAGACGAAGCATTGCGAGAAGGCCTTGTTTGCCGGTTGGCAGCAAGCCCGTGGCTTCTTAGCACAGACGAAAACAACAAGCTGGCGTCCGGATCCGAAAATAATTTGAAACTGCCATTTGTTTATCAGAAAATCTTGGATTTCGTTCTAGGCGATTATTGCGTGCGCTCAACGCTGGCGACAAATCTGCTTTGTCAGGAGTACATCCGTGCTTCGGCTTCTCAGTTGGCACCTCATACTATCGAGAGCTCGGCGACTTCTGCCGCCACTGTTGATTACCGGATTTACCGGATATCCGTCAACTACTTCTTTGATGCACTACAGAAGAAAATGGATTTGTCTTCGTCGGCGGATAAGAAGCTCTTTGGGGTTCTGGTGGCCCAACTGCCATGTGTTTCTGTGGAGATTCTTCGCGTCATTGTAGCGCTGTTTAGTGAGAAAGCTGGAATTGTACTAGGTATCACCTTGTTGCGTGATTTGGCAAAAGAGCGAAAGGCATGCCAGGCGCCTTGCCTTTTGATTTTACTGCGGTATACATGCCACGAGGACGAGCATTATCGGAATGCTACCATCCGGTGTGTCGCGAACCAGCTGTATAGTGTCGGCGCACTCAAAACGGATATCGAAGAGTTTGCGATCAAGCTGGTTAACTCGCTGAGAGAACCTGTGCCGCAAAGTGAGGAGTGCGGGGTTAAAGACGAGGACATGCTTGAATGTTCTAACGAGGACGAGAATGGAGAGAAGCCAAGTATCGAGCAACCTGTGGAACTGAAGGTGGGAGAAGCTAGTACGTGGCTTGAAAATCAGGTGGAGCAAATAGCACTTGCTGAAACGGTCAGTAGCCAAGAGCTACGCAATTACGCTGCCAAAATCCAGGAGGAGACTGATCTTTCGAAACCTCTCGACAGCGAGATGGAGGTTCTTCGGCGTTTGGAGCTTTACCTAGCGCTGTGCGCGAAGAAGCCATCGCTTCTGACGCACTTGGTAAAGACGTACGCCTACGCTTCTGAGACTGTACGCCAGTCAATTTTCCGTGCGATCGAGAAGCTCATAAAGCATCTAAAGCAACGCGGCAGCGTGAATGTTGTCGCTCAGTTGCACGGGTTTGAGTCGAACGCCCTAGGACTGGTTTGTCACATCATCCAAATTTTATCAACCCGTGGACGACCGAACGAGTCCAGCTCGTCGTGCACAGGTGATCTCGTTCAGCAAATTTTAGCGTTGTACCATAGCCATGAACACATTCCGGACTCTATCTCGGTACTGATTCCGGTGTTGCCCAGCATCCGCGGTGAGACCTTGTTCCCATTATTGCCTGATCTATTGTCACTACCTCCAGCGCGGCTATCAGTCGCCATTACTCGACTACTAGAAGCGATGCCTCCGCAGGTGGTAGCTCCGATTGACTTGCTCGTGGCGCTTCATCATGTGGATCTCAAGAGCGAGCCAAGCATGCAAAAGAAGGTCATTACCGCTATCAACTTTTGTGTGGAACACCGCCATGCTTTCCCATCGGATGTGCTACTGCATGTGTGCCGCGTGCTGGTCAAGGAAGAAAAGATCTCGAAGCTGGCGCTTCGCACGCTCATTCTCAGTGTTACAGCGTATCCTACGCTGCAGCGTGACATGGCTTCGTTATTGGATATCCTCGTGGATAGAAAAGTTTGGGAAATGGAGGATGCACTGTGGAAGGGCTTTGTCAAATGCTCGGCACTCATTCAGCCGGCATCATTCCCTCTGATGCTTCATCGACTTCCCGTTGCTCAGCTTGCGTCGCTGCTGAAAGAAGAAAAGGACCTGCGTGTTTTGCTGCGCGAATATGCTTTCACTGCCGGTCCTGACGACCAGCCACTAGACCTTTCTTCCGAGGTTAACGCGCTGCTGGAAGACCTGGATGAGGGCGGCAGTGTGAAGCATGAATCGATTGATGATGCCGAAACACCTGAGCTAGTTGTGGAAATGGAGGTAGACGACGTCGATCCGATCAAGGTGGAGAAGGACGAAGAGGCTGATAGTGTCTTTTGCCGTGATGTTTGTCTCAGCGCTATGGATGAATCAGAAAATAAGTTGCGACCATAAAGCCGAGTGGTTCAGTGGTTGAGAAGGTAAATCAAGTGATGGAGTGACACATGATTGTGCTTGTCGTACCGTATGGGAGATCGATACTGAGAGTGGACAAAATTCAAGCGGAATGCAGAGATGTCGGGGAAAGTTACAAGAAAATGCCATGATCAAGAGCTATTGAAGTAGATAGCAGCTTGCTCGGACTGAATTGCGCCTCCTGTTGTGAATAATGAGACTCGCTTGTCAACAACCGCTTGAGTACATGATACGCTGCCTACATCGATCCATCCTCGAAACTTCCTCCAATTTGTACGAGCATGGGTTCCTATACACACAGCTACTATGTTTTCGTAGTTGCTGTATCGAGCTCTCGCAGAACTTGAGGCATTCCGAGATGTCAGCTTTCTTTCTGTTTCAGCAATTGTCTTCCAAAACTCTATGTATTGCGTACGACGAGGAAATGCTAATGGTTCATGTATTGAGTCACGACGAGATATGCTGAGTGGTGATATCAAGGACAACGTCGTTGAATTAGCTGCTGTTCAAAAGAACGTAGCTATCGAGCCCAATACCGGAGACGAGCGACATCTTCCCCATTGACGTACCAATACCCTCTCTATGCCTTCTTCTCAAAGCGGATATTGCACAAGTCCGAGACCTCCTTCAACGCTACTAGAGCCGCGTCAATATCCTCTCTCGTGTGGGCCGCAGAAACGCAGAAACGGACGCGAGCTAGAAGCAGCGGTGTAGCCGGAAAGCCTACCGTCACTACAGCCAAGTTGCGCTTCAGGCACTCGCGAGAGAACTCGCCCACCTTCGACATGTGATAAAGCATCACCGGGATCACAGGCGAGTTAAAGTCACCCAGCGTAATTACGCCCATATCGATCAACTTCTGGCGAAAGTAGTTGCTGTTCGCACGCAACGAGTCGAGTTTCTTGCGACCAATGTCCGTGCCATCCAGCCCAGCAATAATGTTCAACGCTGTCAGAATCTGCTGAGCAACCACTGGAGACAAACTCGTGGCGTAGACTGCACCCGCACTGGAGTTGCGAATGAAGCTAATGATCTCTTCTGACGCCGCAATGTAGCCGCCCATGGCGCCAAAGCTCTTGGAAAACGTACCCATCAAGATGTCAATCTCGCTCGGATCGACTCCAGAATATTCACAGATACCACGACCCGTGTTGCCCAGTGCACCGATGCTGTGGGCTTCGTCCACATAGATGTAGGCCTTGTACTTCTTCGTAATATCCACCATTTCGCGCAGACGCACAATCTCTCCCTCCATCGAGTATATACCCTCAATCATAACAATGATCTTCTTCCACGGACGGTGTGTTCGCGGCTGGCCTTCCACAATCTTCGCACGAAGTACCTTCTCAAGGTGTTGAGGGTCATTGTGCTTGAACACGCCCACTGAGGCACCTGATGCCCGTGCCCCATTGACAATCGAAGTGTGGTTCAGTGCGTCACTAAGAATAAGCGTGCCTTTGTCCGTCAGAGCAGGAATGCTCGTGACGTTCGTCGCGTAGCCCATATTGTACACAATCGCCGACTCTTTCCCAATAAACTTGGCCAGTGCCTTCTCCAGTGCAACATGTACAGATGTCGTACCAAACTCCATGGGCGGCACGGTCGAGGCCAGTGCAAACTGCTGCACTGCTGGAAACACTTCCTTGCTACACGTGTTCATCCAGTCATCGGCAAAGCCCAGGTAGTTGTACGAGCCAAGGTTCACACAACGCTGGATGCACCGTCTTTATTGTGCAGCGTCTTGTTTTCATCCACCGAGTAGCGCTCAATCAGATCAATCTGAGCGCCTAGAGGACACATAACAGGACACGTCACGCCACATCGAGTCAGCGAACCCATGACGCCCACATCAAGACACGGACGTACCAGGTGATCCAGCGACTGGTCGATTAAACACGTCCTGGAGACGGTGATAAATCCGTTTCGTGTAAAAGTTCTCAAAAGCCACGAGGAGCGGGGCGTAGCCCTTCTTGGCATTGTCCGAGTAGCGCGAGCCGCCAAAGATGCTGCCGGCGTGGTCACGGAGGTGGCCAAAGGTGATGAGGATGGCGTACTGGATGTAGCACAGAATCGCGGCGGCCCACGGGACGTGCTCGGCCGACATTCTGCGTGATGCAAGTGCTAGAGAGAGAGAGAGAGAGAGAGAGAGGAGTGACGCTTGGGATGTGAGACTTGGGAGCTCGTGTAAAGGTGGGTCGATCGATGGGTCGGGGCTCGTTCCTGGATGGTGATTGGCTGAAATCAGTCTCCTTCAGTCACCTGGCCCTGCAATGTGCGACTGCGCGTTACTTAACGACTCGGCTGAAGAGCTCTTTGGAACATTTGCGGATGCCGACTTCCTGCGACATGTGGGACAGTGACCTTTGCGTGGCTCTTCTATGTTGTTGTTATTTACAAGTGTGGGGTAAATAGAGGACCTTAACGAATAGAAATGGGGTCTTTCTTTGTATCTCTCGTATTTCTTCTTTTTTTGGGTCCGGATCGACATCGTCGTCAACACGAGCTTCGATGGTGTCTGTTCAGACATATTGATTGCTGGCTTGACAGCGTACAGTTTTTGACTGTCGCTTGTAGCATGTTCAACATTTGTGGACCCTAGTGATCGATGCACGATGACCTGGCCGCGCGATTCCGCTAACGTTTTGAAACTTTCCTACCACTCCGCACGTGACAGAATCGTCACGCCACGCGGTGGAGTAGGCAGATTTTGGAACCTGTCGCCGAGTATCAACGTAGTCTTGTCACCTGTAGCGCTCTCGGCCTTTGTTGCTAAGACAAGCAACCGTACTTTAACTTATGGGCTCCAGAACAGTTTATGACACCAGAACTGCAAGTATCTTGCTGTTTTGAACAGTGTGAGCACAGAGGATACGATGAAACGTTTAAGCCGGTTGACAAGCTCTTTTTTACATACCACTAGATGGACGAAGGGCTGAATGGGCCAAACGAACCTTTCGATGAATGCTACGCAGTACACTCGACACCAGACTGTCATTTACTAGTCGCCGATCAATTGTGTCAATGGATTGTGGTCAATCCATCTATGGCCCGTCATTTCAATCGTTTTGTCCGTCTCACGTATGAAACTAAGAGGCAGGGATGTTGACAGCACGTTGTTGCGCCCGTTTCCGCAGTACTGGGCGATATGTGCGCTCTTCAGCACATCATGTAAAAGTCGGCATCCTTGCAAACAGACGTCACTGTGGTCGACTTGGCGTAGCAAATATCACACTGGACGATATACGCTCGCTCTCTGACGTCACGCACAGGCAAAGAGAGTTGATCAACGCACGCGCTACATCCGCTTCAAGCAGTAAACTAAATCCCGAACAAGCGGTGCTGTGTTGCAAAGCGTAAAAGACGCATGTCGATTCGAGCAACTCTAGCAAGTATGACACGACAAGTGCGTTTGCACCAAGAACAGTGTGCCGCAACAAGTGATGATTGGGCCATCGAGCTACCGCATGCGCCTTCCATCCCGACTTTGGCAGCCCCAACATAGTAATGGATAATTCCAGTACGAAATGACGATAGCAATGTTCACTCGCTATTCTACGTCTCCTCAGACAAAGATTCAAGTAGTGCTGTGACGAGGGTGCTGATACGTTGGACAAGAAATTGCTAGAAAGCTGCTTGGTACAACTGCTCAACCTCTTAGACGTTGCGCATTGGTGTTGCCTTCTGGACGGTAACGCGTGTTTGCTGGGTGGAAATGAGTGTACTTGTAAGAGCATTGGTCCTGCAATACTATGCGTGCAGATGCCACGACGACTTTGTATTGTCCATCCTGTGTACATCGTTCGCGTGCGCCCAACGTGCAGACGTTTTGAGAGGAGCTCAATCGCAATCAAGCTCTCTCGTTCTCGCCACATGCCTACAGATGCACACTAGTAGCACGGCAAAATATGATACGCGCCGAGGACGTCTCGTACAGTTTGTGGTCGTTGCCAACAGCGACAGCAGCATAATTGATCTTGATGGCCTTCATTTTTGTTTCCTGTAACACCCAGCGAAGACCAACGGTCACTGGTTGCTGCATTTGATGCATTCTTACTTGAGACCATCCAAACTGTCAGCTGGTTGATCCTCTGCCAGCCAATGCCTGCTTTTATGTAGACGCACTGAAGCAACAGTGGAGCGCAGTTTCGATGCTTGTAGATACAACGTTGAAGTGTACGTGGGTAGCACTTGGACCTTCTAGTATGCAGAATTACAGCAACATCAAGCGAGCTGGACGACGTCATCAGGAAGATGATGATGCATCCAAAACTCGCATACAGCTGCGGTAGATCGGCATTTTGCGAGTGCAATAAGGAGAACCGAGTCAATTAATGAGATGACAGCTGCGGCATCTTCTCGATTCCAACCACGTCAGCCTGTAGCTCGACAAGCAAAAGTTCATAGTCTTCTCACTGGAAGCGAAGTTGAAGAATGAAAGCGAAGCTGGCGGGTGGAGTTGGAACTGCTGGCGGAACGAGCACATACGTGCCGTTGGCATCAGCTAGTGGCTAACGAACTAGTACGAAGCAGATCGGATGTCGAATTACGCGGCAATCGGCGTTCGCACGTAATGCAACAGCAGCGTACATCCAAATCGTGCTGATCACGTAACTTTGTCGGTGCACACGAAAGAGAAAACAGCTTTGATCGATGTGTGAGCAAAAGGAGAGACATCAAGCAAGTCGTGTCCATCTCTTGTATGCTCATTGACGCTACAATCAGTCGGCACGATGAGATAACAGGACCCCGACTTGAACATACCCTGCTTCTTCACGTCATCTTGATGGCTAGCCCTCTTGTACTGCATGGAGGGTAATCACGATCATTTGACGTACTGCATGCCGATTACTTTATAACCGCAAAGCCTCCTTGCACCATCAAGGACACATGCAACGTCAATACAAACACAACCGGTTTTCGTTTGTTGGTGTGCCGTGTCAAGTCCGGAAATTGGTGCGCTTGCACTGACGCGTGTGTTAATTATACTCGGAGGTGGCGACACTCACGTTAGTAAAGGCAACGCCGTGCTGGCACATGTCGAGAGCGAGCACAGTTGTCTAGACTAGATTTGAGCATCCCTTAGCAAGCTTTGATGGGGCAACAAGCAGTAAACAGCTTTCGACAATAAACTCGTCTCTGTAGCTTGAGTACTGCTCATATGCAGCATTCGTCGTGCTGAAAACTGGCAGCGAAGCTACTTGACGAATACGAACATGCAGTAATCGTTATTAGTAGGCTACGACGTCTTGACGGGATATACCCCTTTGCAGCAGCCGAGCTACCGCTTTTGCCAACACTTTCTCGACCATCAACTCTAATCTATGCGAACGTCCAGTCATCTCGTTTCCAACCACCGCACACGGTGTCATCAAACGACACAGTACGAGTTTATCGCGAAGGCTTTGGATTAGTTGATATGCCAGTAATCGTGTTTTCGGCAGTGTAGGATCATCAAGTGTGTTACATGATGATGGGGTAAGCTCCGCCAAGTGAGAATTAGTGTGCAATTGTATTTTGCTGATACATAAGTCGCTCTCTGGATGTTGATGCAAAACAGCGCAAACAGTACTGAGATCCCTCCTCTACCAGAACAACCGAGACTTCTTCCACGTATGTGCCTTTCAAGAATATGGCTATCGAGAGCTGTATCACTGCGCAGTCAAGGCAAACGAGGTACAAAACAAATGGCATGCTTCCTGCTTTGAAGTGACGCTATCTCCTTTCACTAGCGTGTCCTTCTAAGTTTACTGCTGCTGCAGGGGCTTGCAATCGCTTATTTGCATTGGCAAAGTGCCTCCAAATATCCACACGAGTATCTCCGACCTTGATAAGCTGATCGAGATAAGGGTGACAGCGTGATGAGATAGCTGAGCCCGAAGCTGACGAGCATATTGCAACAGCGCTGCTTGATACCGAAAAGAAGACTCGAACGAGCGAGACGGGGATACAGCTGGAGAGCAAAAAGCTCTGTCGTTCCGTACTAGTAGCAGTGGGCTCCTACCGTCGATCTTTCTTCGTTCACCGTTCGCACGCTATCACGACCCGACGTCTTCAAGCACTATCACTCAAACGGGTCGAAGTCAAGCAGCAGGTTAAAAGCGACTGCCAGCAAGTAACCTCTTGTCACGCGCACGACGCAAGACTTGTGACGTTGTTCGATAGGGTGCGAAGAGGCGAGTCGACAATCGCATCGCCAAGTAGGTACAAAGACAATTTTGGTGAAATGGCATGTTAGTTTCTCTACGTAACTTTGCAATACATACCTGTAGAGCTCCGTTTCGTTGAATGTAGTTGTTTCTCCACCCGCATGCCCCCTGCTGCTCCCAAGAGGCCTGCCTACAACTCGGCTCTGGTCAAGCATAGCTATTCACAGTCTTCGCGTGTGACTGCATTCGGTTCTTCTTGCACCGAGTGTGCGTGCAGAGTCAGGCCCGAGTTCGTGACCAGCGACAACTCATACAGCGTGTTCTACACAGCAAAAGAAAAAAAAGCAGCTGAGTTCCACTAACTCTCGATACCCAAGCACGGATAAACACGCTGACTACCTCGAGTTTGCGCAGATTGTACTTGACCGAGTCAAACTTGCGACGCAGCGGGCCGTTTCGAAAGTCAAACTGGATGAGCTCTCCCGAGATGGCCTCTACCATAGCTTTGCACCGCTTCACTTCTTCCACATCCCTCACCGTGGCTTTCACAACAGCAAGTCTCATCAGTTCACCTGAGATAGCGGGTATCAAAAGCACAATCAAACAAACAACCACCAAAGACTATCATCAGCATATGTCGATCCTATCATAAACATAACTTTTTAGTGCATCTTTCTACAAATTGCCTCACCAGTGAAGTCAATCACCCCGCCAAGATACTCATTCTTCTGTACGACTGGAACATCTCGACGTGGCAGCAGACGCTGATGATCCAGGTAATACCCGAGACACTTGGCCTCGACATACTCTTCCAATGAAGCTGCTAGTGCACCGTCTCGCAGCGAAGGATGCTGTTCTGCCAACGCCACCAGCTCCGGGATCACCTGGTCATCAATAACTTAGTACACTTGATAAATAGTACCAGTAGTACTAACCAGAAACATGAATCTCCACATAACAGTCACCTCTTCTGCATCCACCATCAACTTCGTAGCTCGTGCTCTGTCCATGCGATGCAGTGCAAAGATGACTTGTTTGCTGTGGAATCAGAGCATTTGGTTAGATCAGGTATGCATACAACGTGCGACTCTCCAATCACATCGACCATTTCGACTCTCTCTCTCTGTGTTGGAATATTACTACAACTGCTGATATTATGACTATATAGAAAAGTACTCGATTGCATACCTCGCTTTTAGAATCTCTCGTGAGCGCTTGATGATCTGCTCGCGCATTTCATCGTGCTCGTGCATCTCTATCGTGAAATGTGGTAAGAAGAGGAGCACTAGGAGGTGGAGAGTTGCGGGAGATCGTACCGCGGTTCATGTCGATAAAGTCCTGGTGGTCCAGCATCTCCATCTCAGGGGCGCTAGCAGGTGCTGTGGATAATTCGGTGGACACGGTCTTCATTTGTATGATGACTAATTGCTAAGGAAAATAGTACGACTCTCTATAATCGAATGAAAGGTTTGGCATAAATGTTGTCGAATTTTAGTACCGTAATTCTTGCCTCCGTTAGTTGTAATACCAAAGCATATGTCATTCCTCGATCGAAGCTTGGTTTACCGATGTAGGTCCTTATTTGCGATACTTATGCTAATTGAGGAGTTGTGCCACAGCGATAGGAATAACTCGAGGTAAAGTCAGGAGGACCCCGTCAGGACAGCTAACTAACTGACTCTACACAACTCGGACCCATACTTTTTATTCTAGACTCGATCAAGGTCGGTCCGTGCGAATCTCAGCGCTGTCCAGTCCAGGGGACGACGGACGTGCTTTGCTGTCCGAACTCTTACATGTCGCATTGGAAGTCACGATGGACGCACACATAGTCGACCCTTTCAGCATGCCACGTATTCACTTGAAGTGTGCGGACCATTCAACAAATCCGACCGTGTAATTGCGGAAAGTATGTGGTGGTGAAGGTCTCGAAGCTGGTCTGTGTCTGTCGCGGAGTACAAGGAGTACGTGACGCATTCACGCAGGTGCAGGAAGGCAACAGCTGAATAGCATGACTCATCAATGATTACATTCGCAAGTAGGCAGACTAACGTGAGGTTCACTTGTTCATGGTTGTCACCACTACATTATCTGTGGCATGAAGTTCTACCAACACGCTACCCACAACACCTTTTGTACCGGTTGCGCCTCGTGTCGTTTCGACAACCTAGTGGTCAGGCCGTCAAAAGATTGAGGTCGTCGTTGGTGTAGCATATTCCGCCCCGTCCTTAGCGCCCCCGAAAAATTCAACGCCCGACAACGTCGTTTGTCCATCCAGACTATCGTCTTGAACCGACTCATTAACGCACATCATCATCTCGCCGACCTCCCCTATACAGAGTACTTGCGACCACGACGACGCTAATGTAGAACATTTTCTAGCCTACCCAACAGCAGAAAACAAACACCGGCTTCACTGTCGCCTCTAACAACTGCGCGCGTCTCCGAAAAAAAAGATACATCGCAGGCAAAAAAGAGACCATCCGTTCTCGCTTATTTTCGAACACGCCTCAAAATTTTGTGCCCAATTTGGTCGTCCAAATTCAACTATCAAGTTGAGTCTTTCACGCAAGTCTGAGCAAATCGACCACACTAATCTGTCCGAACGTTCCTCACGGTATTGTTCGCTCGTGTCGCAGGATTCGCAGCCCCTCCCCCCACTGTGCATATTCAAGAAAAGAAGCTTCGAGCGCAACAAGGTGCGTGAAGTAGGGCGAAGAAACAAGCAAAGCCAGCAGTCGAGGCCGAGCGCAGAGGGGGCGCAGCACAAGTGATCGATGTACACATCGCCACTCGTCTCGCTGCGCCTCGCCACTCGCGTCTGGCGTCCTGTACTAGACGCCGCAAGCACGCGAACACTGGATCTGATTCCATTCGTGCTTTATGGACACCCTGTCATCTGATTCTGCTTTTTTCTGTTGTGTGCTGCTTTTTGTTGTTGTATTTTTCCACTTTTTTGGGGGGTCTGTTTAGTTTCTATTTTATCTTTTTTTGCTGCTACTTTAGCGACGTTCGCCGTCTATTTTGCTCTGTGCCCGACCGCCCCTCCATCATGAGTCATTTTGTGCGCCAGAGCAAGTTCCGCCACGTCTACGTCGAGCCTGCCAAGCTCGAGTCATGCTACACGAACGTGCGGCTGGCTACGGCCACGGGCGAGCAGAACTACATCAAGGGCAACACCAAGTTCTTTGCCGTGTCCATTCAAGCAGGCGGCGGCGCCATGGCCGTCGTGCCGTACGACCGCGTGGGCAAGTTTGATCCGGATTTTCCGCTGATTTCAGGCCATCGAGGAGCGATTCTGGACTTTGACTTTAATCCGTTCCACGAACACCTCGTGGCGTCGGCTTCGGATGACACGACGGTCAAGATTTGGGGCATCCCGGAGGGAGGACTCACGGAGACGTGTGTGGACCCGCTCGTGGACTTGGTGGGCCATGGTCGGAAGGTCACGCTGATTAAGTTTCACACGACCGCCAATAACGTGCTGGCCAGCACGTCGTCGGACTTTTCTGTGCGTCTGTGGGATATTGAAAAGGGAGCAGAGACAGTCAAGCTGGAGGATCATGGTGAGAACTTGATTCAGGACTTGGCCTGGAGCTGGACTGGCAGTGTGCTGGCTACAACGTGCAAGGACAAGGTCGTGCGTTTGTACGACGCTCGTTCGGGACAAATTGCAGCACAGAAGGAGAACGCGCACATGGGCACCAAGAGTGTCAAGATGAGTTTTCTTGGCAACAAGGAAACGTTCGTGACGGTCGGGTTTACGCGCCAGAGTCAGCGTCAGTTCAAAGTGTGGGACCCGCGTAACCTCGACAAGGAACTGAAGAAGGTGGACATTGACCAGGCTGCAGGTGTGATCATGCCGTTCTACGACCCCGACACCAACCTTTTGTATCTGTGCGGTAAAGGTGACGGTAACATTCGGTACTACGAGATGTCAGAAGGCGAGCCTTTTGCGTTCCCGATCAGCGAATACCGTTCCACGACTTCTGCCAAGGGTATGGCTATGATCCCCAAGCGCGGATGTGACATCATGAGATGTGAGACGACCCGTCTGCTGAAACTTACGTCGAATGCTATTGAGCCGCTGCACGTGTTCGTGCCCCGCAAGTCGGACGCATTCCAAGATGACATTTTCCCAGACACGTACGCTGGTATTCCTTCAATGACTGCTGACGAATGGTTGGGTGGAGCCGACAACTCGCCGGTGCTGATGTCGCTGCGCCCTGAGATGCACGGTAAGATCACGAATGATGGCAAGCGTGCACGCTCTGCATCGAAGACCAGTAGTGTGGGTTCTGGTATTGCAGCTCGCGTGGCTCGTTTTGCACGTGGTGGCAGTAAGAATGACAACACGCCGGAAGGCAAGCTGAAGACCGAATTGGAAACAGCTAACGCTCGAATTGCAAAGCTGGAGAAGCTGCTCCGTGAGAACGGTATCTCGTACTAAAGCGCTAGCGAAGGGCTGGCTGCTGCGACTACTGGATGAGGGCGATTAATTCCCGTCAGCTGCTGGATGGAAAACCGTCAGGAGCGTGAGGATTGTTTAGAGGTTATGGCAGTTCGAGACGTTACGACACGACTTGTCGCTTCGTTTTCTGTTGCTGGCTCTTGCAGTCGAAACCACATACTTATTAGATTCGTGAGCAAGTAAGAGGGCTATGCACGCACCGAGTGGAGAGCAGGACAGCAAGAATACCAAGAAAGTGTGAGAATACACGCACGTACGTGTTGGCTTCCTCTGTTTGGTTGTGCCTTTTCGTTCTGTCGGATGACGACTGACCTATCTGCCTGCTCATGGGATTGAGATCGATATTTCATTTTTCGCAAACATCCAGCAGTTGCTTAAGCACTAGAATAGCAGCGGAAGGGCATCATGTCTACTTGCAGCAACATTCCGCTCCTGATACGCACCTGCTAAATGCTAGCTCCATACTACTCGGAACTTATTGCAGGTAGAGCAAATTTCTACAACAGGATATTCAACCGCCTCTGGCACAATTGCAGTCGTAAAGGGATGACCGACGCAAGTGCACCGACAATGAGAAGGGCTGAAGTTACGGTCATAGCGCTCCCGTTTCCACGTAATGTGCAGCCTCCATCAACGCAAAGACAGTGTGCTGCTGACGGTGCTTTGCAAGGTTTGCAGCGGATGTTTTACCGCTCTGGGAATCCCAAAGTACTTACACTGTCCGAGGTGTGGCATGCGACAAATTAGAGTGTAGTCCTCTGATCAGCGCTGTAAACACGCGAATTCTCCGCAAATCGAGTGTATAGATGTCGGGATCCCTCCTATGTCTTGTATGTTGTCGTGCACGATCAAGTGGACTGGTCCCAGCAGTTGCTGTCAGCGATAGCGCGTTATGGAATTGTACACCATCGTGCCACTTTCCTCTTGATCATGCTCGATAATTTCATGCATTTTCTGTATAGTTCCATGTAGCGAGCGACACAGGGACTAGAATGGCTAATGGGGGGGTCTTCGGTGAACATGTGGCCTGGGCAACACTCTGCACGACATACCGTGCGTATCCATTCAGTAGATCGCTCATGATGTGATGTTACGGATATCTGACCAGTCGTCATGACACGAACGCCCTTTGATTCTGGGGTTAGAGTGCTTTGATCACTTGTTGCAGCAAGATCTTTTTGCTACCACTTTCGTTCAAGCGACTACAAGATGAATTGTGTCCTACTCGCGGAGCTTGCACGGACGGGCTGATAACTCGCTCAGCTCCTATGTAAAAATGAACAGCGAGATGACTACAAAATAGATAATCACTGATCAAGATTGGTAATGTCAGCAAGCACTTCCACAGTAATCACTCTGCTTCGGGTGACAGGCAGTTTAATGCACTTGGCAATAGACCTGTGTTTGCATCATTTCCTATTTGTAAAAGTCCAACGGACTCTTACAGGTAAGGATTACCAACTGATAAGTGACCTCCAACATCCCACTTGAGTCACATTTATACTGCCTAAAACACCTGTACGCACACATACACAATTAGGATTGTCGGCAGCTTGGCCAAAACATCGAGATTAGCGACTCAATTTGTGAATAAATAATAATGACTGCCACGACAAACAAGTTGCGCGATCAGACCCACAAACGACATCGATGCCTTCGGTCATGCTACACTTGTCGAGGCTGGTCGTAAGATGGAAATTGGCATATTGGAGCTGGCGAAACTATGCAGGTATGCCGGGAGCCTCTGAGTCCCGAACGGTTACTGGTCTTAAATTACATCAGTCGATCGATACCCATCAGATTGAAGGTATCGGCAAACCGCCAGGACTGGCAAAAAATGCTCATTAAACACGATCAGTGCACGTATCCTACTACTATAGCAAAAGGCTGGTGGAGAGATCGAGGATTGTAATATCTTCTGCATCGACTTCTACACTCTAAATCTCTACAAACCGACATTGGCGATGGCGGGCTATTTGTTTTGCAAACCACGGTGCATTGAGCACATGTTCCGATGCTGTGTTGCGACATGTCCCTAAGACCATCTGTATTTGCACCCATAGCTCTTGGTGCTCATCAGCCTCAAGAAGACGCGCTGACTTACATCACATATAATACGCTTCGTAACTACAACTAGCAGCACACTACTCGGTGTAATCTCATCTGTATGCAGACCGCTTCAGATGAGAATTGGTAGCAACATTGAAGTTCGCTCAGTTGGACTAGAGTGCCGCGTGGATGTCTGCTGTGCAATCCTTTCCGCAAATGCTCTTATCCACTGTGCACATTCGTTTACCTTAGCTATGCATATTTTGGTCGAGCGTAGTCTTTTGTAACGGGGTCTGTCCGTTGTGGATATTACAGAAAGTAAATATCAGTCATATTTTTAGGCTAGCATTTGTTGTTTTTTTGGTAAAACTGTCTTAGCAGATGACATTCATTTGCAGTGGTAATACTCTATTCATTGGTCGATATAGGTCACAATATCACCAATAATGGCGGGCCACGACAGACGTGCGCAAAGAGTGGTGAGAAGATTGTTGAAACACATTTTTGTACTCGTAAAATTAAGGGAGGAGTATGAAACATTTACCTACAATAAATAAACTATACTAAATACAGCTCTTCTTTTCACCCTCTTAAAGTACCTCGACTTCGTAAACTAACCTTCCTGTACACGTATGTGTGCTAATGTCTCTAGGCAACAAATTACACTGTAGTGAGTGTAGATCGCTTGTATCGTGTCAGTACAAACGGTTTGGTACCCTATTACGTTTTAACAAGATTGGAAAATGGAAACCGTGCAGGCTCAAATGTGTAGAAGTAATGTCTTTGCTCACAACTATCACGCTTCAAGACCTTGTACCATCGACATCTTCCCACACGTCGGGGACTTATTCTGTGTTGGATTGAAGGTTCGATAAGTATCTCATGCGTGCACGTGTTTTTTTCTCGCTAAGAACGTGTAGTACACGGCAGGGTGGCAAGACATGAATTCGAACAAACTGCCATCGGATTGTAATCTAATTCATGAGACAAAGATGTGGCTGTATTTTAGTCTGCCAGTTATTTTTTGAGCGATCAATTCAGCGGCTTTCGACAATTACGATATCAACAAGTGAGTGAAATCCGGTCACAGTGCATTCACATTGATGCACGACTCATACTGATCTCGCTTTTGATGTGATCAGGTAATATTCTGTCAATATGTTGCTGGTGTGCTTGAGTTTACCGAATAAATCATCGCGGTACTTGAGTATCAAGATAACCGAGGATGTGCGACGAAAAGGGCTGAAATAGTGGAACAAGCTAGGATGTACACTGTCAAAAGATGTATGGCTGGCACATACCTTGCCGTTTGTAGTCAGGTATCAACTTAGGGTTATCTCACATAAATCTAGTAGAGGGAAGTGCAGCCAGCCCATGACGAGGTGGAAACACTCCTCCTCATTTTTCCAATCAGGTAGTCGACTAGACGTAAAGCATCAAAGTTTGAACTGAACTTAGCACGCTATAGCCTGACTTTGTAACATATCAAATCCGTACGCTGGGTCCGGGGAGCCTCCACCAGGAGGCACGACTATGCAATTAAAATCTGTAGAGTAACGATGGAGTGGAGCATGCACCGCTATAGCAATAGCAGGTCTTCAGCGGGTCTGACACTACGAAGCTGCTGCATCTGAACGAGATGATGGACTTGGGAAAAATAGATATCATAGTCGACCTCGATGTGTGAACTGTGTAGTTTATTATAAAACGTCCTCGCTCAAGAAGGTGTCTCGACAAGGTTTATACCAAGATGACCGAGGACAAGGGGTCATAATTAAATACGCTCATTGCCGTTAAGGGGATGGGATTAGGACCAACACGCTCGGAAAATGTACGCTCAAGCCTCATTATAACAGGAGGGATGTTCAGCTAGAACGACTATGATAGACATGTCAAGTCACGGTAACACACCCATTCGCCGCTATTTGTAACTTCTTACCAGCTTGGTAGCAGATTCCATTGAAGAAATTTCGGCATCTTTCGCTGCATACAGCGAAGTGAGGACTGGTTATGACATTTGTAAAAGAGCCGTGTGTAAAGTGACATTTACTTTTCAGCAGTGGAAATGACATGCGCTACTCATCACCCATGACATCCTAAAAACAACTTGGATGCTGACAGATTTTGAGGAGCGCGTGATGAGGAAACTTTGCTTGGTCGTAGTTACCAATTAGGAAACAAAACGGGACGGTTAAAATATAAGGGACCCTACTACCCAAATCTGGGGCAACGCGCTTCATAATCTAGGAACCCTATGAATCTGAAGAAGTACACTTATCGATTTTGCAGCCGGTTAAGCGTACTTTGTGGTTGCGGTAGCGGTATTGATGGTTGTCTAGAGCACAGGATAAGTTCGGACGATTAGTGGCGAATAAATTAAAGTCTGGTGGTTGAGAATATCGTATGAAGGACGCTACCATATTTTTAAATGGTGTATTCACTTCATGTGAATTACTTTTACTCCACATTGCTATTCAAAATAAAGTTGAAGGAGAACTAAGTTCTTTGTTAAGCGCGAGAGACACAGTTCAAATAATTAAGCAACACGCACAGGCGACATACTGCTGGCGGCGGAAAATGCTGGGGTGAACCGCAAAGACCTCTACATATCCTGCGTGACATCAAGCCGATCAGCTACAATCTCTTTTTTGGCGCCCCAGTCGTTCTTTTCTGACTGTTGCAACGGCAAAACATCAATGCACTACAGGGGGTTAAGAAGACCTAAACGCTCGGATAACAAGCACATACCGACTCCAGGCTCGGCCAAGGGGTTAAAAGAATTGGCCGAATTCTAGACTTCCCGAAAAGTGGAGTATGAGATAGACATGTAGGACGTTTAGAAGCTCGTCGATACAAGAAGACATCAGCACTCATTGGCAAACACAGTCCCACAGCACACGATCCCGAAGACATGGTTTGTCATGTGTTGT